GAGTTGCAGCTCCTCCGCCAGGCCTGCACACACGTCCTGCAGCAGCTTCTCATTCCAGAAACTGCCAGAGAGCAGGTCATGGGAGATGGCTCCCACCCAGTCCTCAGAATCATTTGTGTGGAGTGGTATGCACAGGGCCTCGGGGTCATATGAAACTTGGTTCAAAATTTGGCTCAGATATTTATAGTTATGTGACTTGAGGCAAGTTACTCAACCTCCTTGAGCCTCAGTTTCTTCGTCTTTAAAAACAGATACAATAAAAAAAAGACCACAATAATAATAATAATAGTTAAATCTATTGAGTCCTTTCAATGTACTAGGCAATGTCCTAAGTGCTTTATATGAAATATTACTTTCAATTGAAATTAAAAAGTGTAGTAGGTGAAATTTTTATACTCATTTTACCAATGAGAAAAACAAGGCATAGGAAGGTTATGTTAACTTGACTTATATTACCCATCTGGTAAGTGTTGGAGCCGGGAATTGGAACCAAGGAGCCAAACTCCAAAGTTAAGCTTTGTCTATCCATATAGTTATTGTCAGGATAACATAGGATAGTGCCAGTGAAGTGCTTGGTACAATTGCTGCCATATAATAACCATAGGAATAGTAGTCGTCGTAGTAATAGTTTAGCAATAGTAATAGTAGTAGCAGCAATAGCAATAGTAGTAGTAGCAGCAGCAATATTAATAGCAGTAACATTAGCAGTGGCAGATGCAACAACAGTAGTAGTATTGGAAGCAATAGCAATAGTATTAGTAGAAGCAGAAGTAACAGTAGTAGCAAAAGAAGCAATGGTATTAATAGTAATAGCAACAACACCAGTAATACTACTACTAGTAGTGGAAGTAGTAGCAGCAGTGATACTACTATTAGTAGTAATGGTGACAGCAGCAGTACTAGTAGCAATAGTAATAGTGGTTAACGGTAGCAGTAATGGCAGTAGTAATAGCATTAAGAGTAGCAGCAGTAACGCTATTAGTAGTAATACCCAAAGTAGCAGCAGTAATACTAGTAGCATTAATAATACTATTAGTAGTAGAAGAGACAGTGATAGCAGTAGCAATAGTAATAGTAGCCACAGTAGTAATACTAGTCATAGTAGTGATAGTAGTAGGAATAGCAGCAGTGATAATAGCAATAGTGATGGTAGTAGGAACAGTAGTAGTAGTAGTAATAATACGAGTAGCACTACTGGTAGTAATTGTAACAGTAGAAATATTGGCAGTAGTAGCGAAAGTAATAGTAGTTGTAGCTGCAGTAGCAGCAGTAATAGTATTAATAGTAGTATAGTAGCAGCAATGGTAATAGCAGTATAGCAGTACAAATACTATTAGTAGTGCTATTAGTAGTAATACTACTAGTAGCAACAGTAAAAATAGCAGTAGTGGTAACCGTGGTAATAGCAGTAGTAATAGTAGTAGCAGCAATAGTAATACTACTAGTAGTCATAGTAGTAGCAGCAGCACTAGCATGGCAGTTGTAGCAGCAGCAGTTTTATTTTACTGGTAGCTCTTACTTTGACAGCTGCTTCTCAGTGGTCTTGAGGGCTGAGATGGTCCTGTCGGCCATTCCGCCATAGCAAAGGGCCAGCTCCTTTACCTGGGTGGTTCCTGGCTGGAACAGGACCCTCATGCCGCAGGTCACCTTGGCTATGTCATCTTCTCTCCGGGAGGACTGCTTGAACGCTGAGAAATATTCACCCTAAAAATAACAGGGAAGAACCTGCGTCCCACCTCGTTTTGCAAGGACTGCAAAATGGTGAGCCTGAAACCCAGGGAC